ATGGACTTCGCAGCAACTTGGATGGATTTAGAGTCTATCATACTCAGTGATCTATCAAAAGAACTGAGTACCACAAGTTCTCACTCATAAGAGGGCCCTGAACATTTACCATATTACAATAAGAAAGGGATTGGCAGTAGCAGGACAATGCCAGGGGAGGAGGTGGCCACATAACATCAATAAGGGGACCTGACTTCAAACCAGGCAAAGTGGGGACCACAGGGAGGCCCAAACTTTACCTGTATGATGACCACTTATATACCTAATTCTGAATTGCATCCTACATCTTTAAAATAAAAAAAATTTTTAATTAAAAAAAAAACAATGAAACCCAAATAATCTAAGAATATATTTTTTTCAATACAAAAGCAGGATTAAGATTTTTGCATTTGTCTGCTGATAAAGAGTACAAATAACTAATACAGATAAAATTCAGTGAGATAGCCCCAGCTGCAAACATACTTATGGTTTAACTCAACAGAAGTTGTTGAGTTAAATCCCAGGCAAAGTCTAAAGCAAGTCTTTTTTTTTCTTTTTTCTTTTTTTTTTGAGTTGGAGGCTCACTCTGTCGCCCAGGCTGAGGTGTAGTAGTATGTTTATGGCCACTGCAGCCCCAACCTGCTGGGCTCAGGTGATCCTTCCACCTCAGCCTTCCAAGTAGCTGGAACGGCAGGTACACACCACCTTGCCCAGCTAATTTTTTTATTTATTGTAAAGACAAGGTTGCCCAGCCTGGTCTCAAACTCCTGGGCTCAAACTCCTGGGCTCAGGCAATCCTCTCGCCTCAGCCTCCCAAAGTGCTGGAATTACCATGCCTGGCTTAAAGCAAGTCTTTAGATCATACTTGCTATTGATATAAAATGGTTGACCTTTGAAGGCAATAGAGGTGTGCAGGCTACTTAACAATAATATGTACTATGTCTAGGTTGAGGAACAATATTGTATATCGGTTAGTTCTTAGGCTCTGGAGTCCGATAATTTAACAGATGTGACCTTTGGCAAGTTCTATAATCAACCCTTGGTATCCTCATATGAGAGTTAATGTAACTAACATCATCATAGTCATGCTAAAGATTATATAGCATCCATGTAAGAATTATGCTCAGAGTCTAGCATGTAAGACGACACCACCTAAAACACCGTAGACACGATTTTAAAAAAGCTAAGGAGATGCTTGTCCTTCAAGATTATTACTTCTCTTCAGTCAAGTTCATGGCTCTTCATGAATAGCTTCAAGGTCCCCACTTACAAAACCACAGTCAGTTTTGTGAATTTGGACAATTAAGGCCCTTAAAGATACAAATCTTAACTTTTAATATCTTAACTACAGAGAGGAAAACGAGTGGGGATAAGCAACACGTGGGAAGCTATAAAAATGAGCAGAACAAGCTTACCAACATGAAATAAGGGAAAATTTGATGTTCTCGCTGTTTTTTAATTGACCATCTAATGATTTATAACTGATGGCCTCCCTCATTACTTGAACATTTTCCTTACTTTTAAATCTTCCTCCCTTTTGTTTTCCATCCAAAATACCACTAAAACTAGTTTAGCTTCAAGTATAGCTTCTCCTCAGTAATCGGGGATTGAGGGGTATGGCAGCTGTCCTCACAGCCAAGTTGTGTATACCCGCTAAAGGGGTCCTTTTAAAAATGACTCAAGAATTCCTTGGAATCTAAATCTCTAGAGTCTAAATATAACAATTGCTAAAGCTCTTCCTAAGTATTGACTGGATTGGTTGAGCTCTACTAAAACAAAGGTGATGACAGACACATGGTATATAATATCAATCAGTAAAAAATCCCACATATATCTACTTTGTATTAGGCATTTTGATGTGAACCATGGCTATGCTTGCTTTCTATTATCTGCATCAAGAGGTAAACTACAGAGTAGACAGCCTAATAATTGTCATAACACTGATAAACTACAGAATATTCATAGACTTCAACAATTCAGCCTACGTTCAAGGAATTTATAGAAAAGGAACATTCTCAAACTAGCAAAACTCAAATTTTAAAACATTCCAAATCTCTTCACATAACCTACTTTTCATGAACTTATAATGTTTATCTGCAATTCTGAGGAAAAATGAAGAAAAATTAGGAAACAAATGATTTCACTTACATTTTAGAATGATGTCTACTACTGTATCTTAATTTTTTAGATTTGGTTTTTGAAACTCCTCTAATAAGAAACCACATAAGTCGGTAACACCTATCATCCCCCATAGACTAAAATTGTTTTTAACTCTGCTCTAGCTGGAGTAGGGATTGAAGATGCAAGAGAACACCTACTTATCGTGGTCTGATTCAGCAAGCAATTCTGTTGCCTGTAATATATGAATGAGATCTGTAGTTTACTACAAAAATAGCTTTTAAACGGCTCCATTTAAAAGTGACAAGCACTGCATATTCCCCCAAAATTCCAGAGACAAATTTCTTAATTCCACATATCATACCTTCCCTGCCTTTGTCTGTTCAAACTACACTGCTGCTCTCAGAAGTTTGAAGATACTACTTTGCAGAGGTTTGCCAAATAAGCAGATTACTTCAGGAGGAGAAAAATGAAAAGTTATTTGAGGAAAGTTCAGTAGTACTTAATCAGTATTATAAATGAAATGGGACGGTGGTCTACCATTACTTAAAGCCTATTTAGAGTACAAAAAAAGGAACTTTGAGAAACAATGTCTTAGAGGTAAAACTTACCCTAAAGTTAGAGGCCAATTAATACAATCACTGTCTTTATAAATTCTCTTGGCAATGCATCACCTGCGGTATGTCTCCCAGTCTATGGCTGAAGATGGCCAGTGCTTGTTTATTGGATACTTCTCAAAGCAGACCATTCTCTGTCTTTAGAGATTTGACTGGTAGGAAAGTTTAGGTTACCCTGAAACTTACCTTCTATGCTGTACAGAACTTCCTTCTAGAAAAAGTTCTTAAAATATGACCCAGGTCTTCCACACTAAGTATTTAGTTCTTTAGGTCCTCTTCATCATAGTTTTAATTTTGAATTCTACTCCAAACACCCACCAAGTCCTGTGGGTTTTGTTTTTAAAGCCTGGGGACTAGAGGACAATAGTCCAAGCAGGGAATAGCCAGTCCAGCACAATAGTAGCATCATCTAGCATGTTCCACATTACCTATCTTACTTCTAATAAAACAGGTTTACAGTACATTTGACAGCCACATTATACTAACTCACTTGGAGTTTATGACTAAAAAAAAAAAATCTGTTTATTACTAATGTTAGGCTATATCCTCAGTTAGCTCTCTTCAATTCATCAGAGGAAGTAAGAACACCTTTGACGACTTATTGAAATCAACATGTACTTCCTTATGTTTTAAAATTCATTCTTCTGGAGCTGGGCATCGGAGGCTCACACCTGTAATCCCAGTAGCTTGGGAAGCTGAGGCAAGAGGATTGCTTGAGCCCGGGAGTTCGAGAACAGCCTTGGCAACATAGCAAGACCTCGTCTCTAAAAACATAAAAAATTCATTTTTTTTTTTTTTTTTTTTAGCCGGGCTCGGTGGCTCAGCCTGTAATCCCACGCCTTTGGGAGGCTGAGGCGAGTGGATTGCCCGAGCCCATGGGTTCGAGACCCGCCTGGGCAGCGAGACCTCATCTCTACAATAAAATCAAAAAAATCAGCCGGGCGTGGTAGCGCACGCCTGTAATTCTGGCTACTCAGAAGGTTGAGGCGGAAGGATCGCCAGAGCCCAGCAGGTCGAGGCTGCGGTGGCTGGGCACTGCACTCCAGTCTGGGCAACAGAGTGAGATTCCAACTCAAAACAAACAAACAAACAAACAAAAATTCATTTTTTTAATCATGAAAAATGAAACCTTAACAGTCTTTGTATCACACCCATATCAGATCAATGATTTTTAGGAGCTCGCATTAGCCTTTTGTTATCTGGGACTGTTATTCAGAAACTCATTTATTGTATGCATCTTATATTACATCTTATATATCCCTTTTCTCTTTTCAAAGAGGAGATGATGTTTACCTACCACTAAGCTCTTGTTATCTTTAATTTCTCAAAGAATGTTCAGCTATTATATCTTCAAGTTGCCAGGATTGAAACATTTAATTCCATCATATAAAATTATTTGGGACAGATAATTTTAGTCTTCTCATGCATGTTGGATTTAGATTCTCTTTAACTCATTCTCTGGTCATTCAGATCAAGACAGATTTCTCCTTCATTAAAAAATGCCCCCCCGCCCCCCCAAAGCAAAGGTACTGCATGTTGTGCTCTAACAAGACACCCAACTGAAGTGAAAGACCTATCCTTTGGATAGTCTTAACCCAAAAGAAATCTTAAGAAGCCCTGGCTGGACATGGTGGGTCACGCCTGTCATCCCAGCACGTTGGGAGGCGGAAGCAAGAGGATTGCCGGAGCCCAGGGATTCAATACCGGCCTGGTGGCAAATTCATCTCTAAAATAAATAAAAAAATTAGCCAGGCACGGTGGCGCGTGCCTGTAGTTCAGCTGCCTGGAAGGCTGAGGCGGAAGGATTGCCTGAGCCCAGCAGGTTTGAAGCTGCAGTAGCTCTGATCATGCCACTGCACTCTAGCCTGAGTGACAGACTCAAAAAAACAAAACAAAAAAACAAAGTTGTTCAAAACATTTTAATCTCATTCTAATGGCTATTAATCCACACGGTATAATACACTTTCTAAAATACTAAATGCTATGAAAATACATATCAAATTTTTCACATAATAGAGAGACACACAGAAACCTGTACATCCAAAATGAAGCCAAGTATGAGGATACTGAAAAGAAAACCCCTTAAGAGACAGAGATGACTGGTTAAGGGTCCTTATTCATTAGACTATAGCCACCAAGCAAAACAAACACAAAGTACCAGACCGAACATGACCTCCAAATGATTTCTTCAGCAACGCTACTTAAAGTGATCTTGAACTGGGATCTTGAAATCTCGCGTCTATAAACAAAAACACGAATAAAGTCCTCAACAGCATGAGCACTTACTCATCATACTGGATATGATAAATAACGTCTTCCTCAGCAGCAACAGAGTCTGAATTAGACGTAGAGGGTACACGGTCCAATTTATTTGTGTTCTCTCTGGATTTATGATTTACATTTCCATCAGTCCTTTTACAAGAACTGCCATTCTTCAGTGGAGCTTTGCCACGTGACTGTCCATCAGAAGCTTTAGTAACACTATGTATGTGTGCTTCAAACCAAGCACCAAGGCCGACATCTCTGGCATCCACCAATTCATTTACCTAAAAAAAAGTTTAAAATTAGTTAATGAAGCTTAATTTCATCTACTGCTTCAAAAACCTTAATGTAACTCAAGTTATTTGAGGGTTATCATGACAAACAATATTTGCAGCTACTCAGATTGTGCTATCTTAAAGCTGTTATTTACTAATACGAAAATTAACTTTCTTGTCAATTTCTATCAGTGAAACAAGTGTGTGTTTTTTAAAAACTACTCCTTACTCATGCCTACACTAACTTTTGGAAATTTTACTGTTATGTACCTAAGATTCATTTTTGCAGGGCATCCAATAACAATGTTGCTAATGAAAAGCCAGGACTTCAAACTATTAAGACTATGTTGTTAATCTGTTTCACTGATTTCTTCATAATACTAAAGATTACTGTTTTTAGGTTGGACTGTATCAAACAGAAAACAAAACTTGAAAATGAGAGAGGTATGCCAAGAAACAAGCTAGTGAACTCATCTATACTAAATGGGGACGTTCTATCACTAGTTAGTAACTCACTAGGCAAATGCATCTGTCACCTCAAAGAACAAAAATAAAATATAAAAAGAACAAGGCTGTAAGATACAAAATCAGTGTAGTCAAGTCTAGTGGCTGTTCTAGAACTAAACTGTGCAATCTGACACAAGGAAAATAGTATTTAAAAAATGGGTATACCAGTCAGGCGTAGTGGCTCATGCCTGTAATTCCAGCACTTTGGGAGGTAGAAGCGAGAGGACTGCCTAAGCCTGTGGGTTTGAGACCAGCCTGGGCAACATGGTGAGACCTTGTCTCTACAATAAATTTTTAAAAATTAGCTGGCCATAGTTCCAGCTACTTGAAAGGCTGAGGCAGATGGACTGCCTGAGCCCAGCAGGTCGAAGCTGCAGTAGACAGAGTGAGACTCCAACTCACACACACACAAAAAGGTATACCAGAGAACTAAGAGTTAAGAAATGAAAGTTAAACCCACCCCCGAAATACCTGAGGACATTGTCTACAAGGTCAAAGCCCTTTCAGGACAATAACAATAGAGATTCTGTCAACCATTTTTTTTTAACCCTTAAAAAGAAAAAAAATAAATGAAACGAACATGAAATCACCTCATCAGTTAGCTCTTCCTTGAAAGAAGATATACTTAAGGTACCTAATATAATTCTGACAGAAGGTATAGCTCGAGGGAAAAGCGTATACTAAAAGTTAAATATTCATATACCAGGTACTATGCAAGTTTCTGTACCTGGGTTTGTCTAACCCTAACAAGATCATTAACTGCCTTATCAGATAAGGAAATACGGGCTCTGAGAAGTTAACTTTACACTATGAAAGCTACTGAAAGATAAAGCCAGAATCGGAAGACATCTTGACCTTTAAGTGTACGTCCTTGCCCTCACGTCATGAATCTCGATTTAGACTAAGATAACCAAACAGGCACTTCCAAGGAAAGCGATGAACTTCGAAACAAGGTACTGGAAATACAAAATGTTTTCAAACTGTCGAGCTGACATAGAAGACAGAATACAAACAAAAGCAAAAAGTATTAACTATCACTAACAGAAGAAGTACATTTGACCAAAGGCAGTATATGTAATGAAAACGTTAACAATGAAATAACTCAAAAGACATAGGGTTCAATGTAACCAACAAGAAAGCGTTTAGGGAGAAAAACAAAAACCGTTAAGGGCTAGCCAGGCCAGGTATGGCAAAGACTCAGAGATAAAACATGTTATACATTGCATAAATTAATTCATGTATTACATGAACATATGCTCATTTCTTTCATAACAGTCACTGGCAAATGCAAAGACATTTAGGCCAAGCACAGGGGCTCACTCCTGTAATCCCAGTACTTTGGGAGATAAAGGTAGGAGGATTGCTTGAGCCCAGGAGCTCAAGACCAGCCTGGGCAACACAATGAGACCCTGTAGCTACAATAAAAATTTAAAAATGAGCCAAGCATGGGTGGCACGAGTCTGTAGTCCTAGCTACTTGAGAGGCTAAGGCAAAAGGGTCGCCTGAGTCCAGGAGGTTGAGGATGTGATGAGCCATGGCTGGGCCACCACACTCCAGCCTGGGTGACAGACTCAAATAACTAAATAAAAAAGTAACAGCCAAACACACGAATCTATACGTAAGAGCTGAATGTATTCATATCAAAGATATAGCCACACTTAGAGAAAAATCTCTCCTGTCCAAATATTTGATATTAAAAATACTGAAGCATAGGCGACAAGGAAGAATCATTAAGAAATAAAGCAATACCAAAAGCAAGTATTTCAGAGTTTACTTTATGCCGGGTCTGTCTCTGAGAACTTTTATTTGTTCTGTGGAAAACACTCCAAGCTCTGCAGATAAATCTAGATTTAAGTCCTTTGTCTATCATTCATTAGGTGTCACCTTGAACAACTTCCTTAACTTGTCCCAACCTCATAATTTGCAGTGTATTAGAACATGCCTTGCAGTGAATGAAAGATGAGAAAATTCGTTATGTGCCAACCTAGCAAATATAGAGCATACATAAGTGAAATAACTGTCTCTTAACACTAAGTATCATATTTTCAGTGTTAAGATTCATTAAAACAAGAGTATAGTCTCATTACCATATTCTGCTGAGTAAACATTAGTTTACTGTTACATATATCACCTCCTTTAATAATCATCACACAAGGTGGCTGGGCACGATGGTTCACGCCTGTAATCCCAGCACTTTGGGAGGCCGAGGTAAGAGGACTGCCCAAGCCCAAGAGCTCGAGATCAGCCTGGGCAACATGGAGACCTCGTCTCTACAATAAAAACAAAAACTCAGCCAGACATGGTGGCGTGCACCTGTAGTCCCAGCTACTTGGAAGGCTGAGACAGAAGAATCGCCTGAGCCCAGCAGGATGAGGTTGTGGTGGCCATGATTGTGCCACTGCGCTCCACCCTGGGCAACACAGCGAGACTCTGACTCAAAATAATACTGATGACGATGATGACAAAGCCATTCCTATTTTCGAATGAAGTCCAGACATGAAATCCACTTGCTCTCAAGAGATACACAGCTAAGAAATGTGGAAGTTAAGCTGAGAACACGGGTTTCGCCGACTCGGAACATGATTCTCTCATTATACCATGGTTCTTCAGATAGTGACCAAAAAATGCAGTATGGTTCCATTTACATGAAATCCCAAAACAGGAAAACTGAGGCTACATAAGTAGGTTAAAGATTATTACTGGTTGTTAAAGGTTAACAAGAAGATAAAATTAACAAAGAGCAAAGAAATGATCACCATAGAAGTCTGGGTAGTGGCTACAACTAGAGACAACAGTTACAAACAGGAGGGGCACATGGGAAGTGTCTGGGCCCTCCTGATCCAGCTCATAACCTGGCTGGGGTTTGCAGACACTGACTCCATTGGAGTTCACTAAACTGCATTCTTTCTTATTGCTTATTACATTTCATAATCAATAAGGTTAACTATCAAGAAGCAGGGCTACTCTGTGGACAAGACAGGAAATAACATACGACATATCGGTGATTTTTCTCTTTCCAGTATTTCCTCCAATGAGCATGAGAAAACATGTAAACAGTTTAACAGTGCCACATGCCAAGCTAAACCCTAAAAGCTGACATCATCATTCTACACAGTCATCATTTAGGTCAAAATGACCATCATTTCAAAAGCAAGGTTGTTATTTGAGCCATAAAAAGCTTCCATATCCAAAAACCAAAATTAAAATCAATTTAGATATCAACAGTTCACCTGGTTTCAGAAAATAAATTAGATCCTAATCTACTGTTAGTATGATTCAATTTATGCTCGGTGCACATACAGTTGGAACAAATGGACCCAGTCTCTGTACAATCCCTCATAGGCTCTCCAAAGTGATAGTGACATCTAGTTTCTTGCAATAAAATATGAAAATATCTACACCAGGCATGGTGGCCTGTCATCCCAGCACTTTGTGAGGCCGAGGTGAGAGGACTGTCTGAGTTAGAGGTTCGAGACCTGCCTGGGCAACTCGGCGAGACCTCATCTCTATGATACATCAAAAAATTAGTCAGGCATGGTGGCACACACCTATAGTTGTAGCTACTTGGAAGGGTGAGGCGCAAGCATCGCCTGAGCCAAATAGGTCGAGGCTGTGGTAGCTGTGAGCATGCCACTGCACTCCAGCCTGGGCAACAGAATGAGGATCTTACTCAAAGAAAAAAAAGAAAAAAGAAAGTATCTGAAACTGGTCAAATATTGCTCAGTTATCAAACAGGGTAAAATGTCAATGAACAATAAATAACTTCAGATTAAAATTACACCATAGTATGTTGTTAAAATGTTTATCTATGCTAGTTTTAAATAAAGTTAATTTGAAAATTCACCTTTTGTATCTGCTTATGAGGTCCAAAGAATATTTTTTTTTTTTTTTTTTTTTTTTTGAGTTGGAGTCTCACTCTGTCGCCCAGACTGGAGTGCAGTGGCCGCTCCCGGCCACCGCAGCCTCGACCTGCTGGGCTCCGGCGATCCTTCCGCCTCAGCCTTCCAAG